GGCGAGGGCGGTTGAGAGGTGGTCCCATCCGCGTCGACTGCTGGTTTAGTCGCTGGTTGAGTCTGGGCGACCAGTGCGGCAACCTTTTCGTGGATCGACCTCGGTCGCGTCTTCGAGCCGACTGGTTCACCGAAAGAAATCGGCTGGCCGCTTGGTTTCCGTTCGTCCTCAGTTGGCTTCTTTTTGGACGAATCCACGAGAGATATGACCTGGGAAACTGAGGTCGACTTCTCCTTCTGAGCAAGCGTCTTCGATGAGTCTACCAGCGATACGACTTGAGGCTTGGGGGCGTGAACAGGTTTATCCAACTTCGCTGGCTCTGCCGCCTTGGGTGCCTCTGTCTTCGGTTCAAACTTCTCTGATTGTGGCAAAGTTGGCGTCTTCACAATCAGTGCTGGCGCTGCGGGCTCAGGTTCCTCGGTCGTCTTTGCAACGGACGAAGGAGCCTTCCTCCTAGGGCCGCGAGCTCGACTCTTCGTCATATGCGTCAACTGAGGACCAGGGCTAGAACTAACTTCTGGTGCAGCGCCTTCAGAAGTAGGCTGTGATGATGAGCCGGCAGAGGCCTTTGGAGCCCCGGAGCCTACAGCTGGTGGCCCACGGGCAAGAATTCCAGCCAATGCTGGGTTGAATCGTCCCGCCAACCCACTGGCCGCAACACGGCCCTGGAGGCGCCCTGGAGCGCTAACCTCTTTATGCAAGATCGGCATACTGGCAGGTGGCTCATTCTCCGACGAAATAGAGGGCTTCGGCGTGGGAAGCTGTGAGGTGCCCGCGGAATCCGATCTGGGCATGGAAGATATTGTGCTAGATCGGTTTGAATCCTTGGTTGCGTTGGTGGTCTCTGTTGGAGCGTCAGAGGTTGCCAAATTTCGCTTGGAAATGGTAGCAGACCGCTTTATCTCCATCGTTTTAAGCAGTCCCTCCGGAATTGGCTTCTCATCCGCAACTTTTGGAGCTTTGGTGATGCTCCGACCATCCTCCTGAGCCTTCTTGAAGTCTTCTTTCTTCTTCAGAATCGCTTCCTTGAACTCGTCCTTTCGATCTGACGGCTTCGGACCTCCTGTGATATTTAAAGCAGCCTTGCCCCGCAGAATGTTATTCTTCAGCTCATCGGGCGCTTTGTAGTTTTGGGTTTGCGTCCTGCGTAGTTTGCCGAAGACGTTTGTGAGCTCGTCAGGAGTTTCTGATTTACCTGTTCCGGACGGAGCCTGGCGTGGCTTCAAGTTACCTCGGAAATCTAGATCCTTCTTTGGAGGCGTCTGCGGCTTTGTCTTGGCTGGAACAGAGGATGGCGCAGCCCCTTCTAGAGCAGTTTTGTCTGACGCTCGCCGAGTGAGGTTGCCACGCAAGGTACTAGCTGCGAGTTTATCGCCGGATGGGAGTCGTGGAGACAAGGCGCTCGCACCTACCGCAGCGGGCTTCACGCCGGCGCCCATAGGTGATGACTTCATAAGTCCTCCAGTCTTTACTTCGTGCCTCCGGGCGACTGGCGAAGTAGCGCCAATGTCGGGACTACCGACATTAGATTTCTGCGATTTTGCCTTGTTCAGCTCGACCATCCAAGCTGGTTGCTGCGACGAAGGAGGCGTAGGCTTTGGCTTTGGAGATTCAGGCTTGTTCAACGCTGCGTCGAGCCAACTTGATTTCGTAGGGCTCCATCTTCGAGGGTCCATGGTTTTTGAAGGACTGACAGGCAGCGGTTGCTCCTCTTGGTCTTCTTTAGTCTCAGCCGCCGGCTTCTCATCATTACTGCTGCCTTTTTCAGGGGTATCTTGCTGTTGATCGTGGCTTGACATGGGCCTGGATGTAGGAGTTGTCGTACCCCTAGACGTAGGCCTGGACGAACGTGTGGGAGTTACGGAGCCGTCGCGTAGCATGCTGTTTTGTCGTGAGTGGGACAGCGTGGTACTGGTGCGGTTGGTGTTGTCGATACTAGACCGGTTGGAGACGACCGTGTCGGCTCGCTGTAGGCCTGCTGGGGAGTTCACACTCCAGCGCTTGACGCTATCCGACCTCTTCATCATTGCACTCTGGACAAAGCCGCCCATACCCTTCGTGGGAGACAGTGGTCTGGTAGGTGACGTCCGGCCACCGGCTGTGATGTCTTTCTGGCTGGTAGCCTCCGGTGTGGGGGGCTCGAGCCTCTGTGCGGGACTGAGGATCAAGGGAGAACCAAGCTTCGCACGGATCCCGGGTGAGGCTGGCCGAATTTCTGCTGCCTCTCTTAATGGCTCACTAGAACTTTCGCGCGACATCCCAGGGAGTTGTGCACGCAAAGATGACATATCGAGAGTATCTGGATCCTCAACCTGGTTTTTTCGAAAGGCGGCAGAGCCCTGACCGCGATCAGCTGTCTGACGGAACCAAGTCGGATCTTTTCCGGCCAGTGCTTGCGCAATCTGTTCTCGCGGCGGGTTCTGCTCTGACGAAGTCTGTTCTACAGGGGTCGAGGTGCGCGAGGCCGCATTCTCGGCGGCCACGACCGAGAGCGGCCGGCTTCTTGGTCGATCAGAGGCCTGGGATTGAGGCCGTCTCTGCCATGAGAGGGGACCGCGCGCTGGGCCGCCAATCGAGGACGATGTCACGCCGGCGCCCGTCTGCTTCGAATCAGCGTCGAATGGCGAGTCGTTCTCCTTGGTGTAGTCTCTCGACCCATCCATCATTGCGGAAGAAGGGCGCGCACGTGTGACGGGACTTCCACTTCCGGTACTCTCGTGGCGCGGAGATGGCGCTCGTATTCCTAGGGCATTCGATGTATAGGCAGATGTGCCGTCTCGAGATGGAGGAGGTGGGGTGTTGGCAGGCGACGATTTCTGAGGAGAAATGGATCTGGCGCGTTCTGAAGCACAAGATGAAGTTGGTTAGCTTGATGATCCTCGCGTTGCATTTAATTAAATGCAAGCAGAGGGGTAGGTAGCAACTGGCAATTGGTCTTGAGAAAGTAGGTAGCCAAGGTGCGGTGGCAGGCGAAAATACATGAAGGAGATAAAGATGTGCGATTCGGATTCTTGTCGATGTGACGACTTACCTGCACGACGTGCTTGTCTCTCTGATCTCTCTCTTAGGAACTTCTCCTCCAGTTCTCGGGAGCGCGCTTCGTCTTCCTGCTCGCGTCGTTCCTTGAGCTCCTCTACTGACCGCAGAAAGTCGGAAACCTCGTCAGACATGGCAAGTTGAGTGTGTGTTGACTGCACCGGACAGAACTAAACCGGCCGACAATTCACGAGCAGCGACGACCACTAGAATTCACGGAAGCTTTCTGCCCAACTTTGACGTTCCACACGACCGACATGAATATGCGCACATGCAAGGAACCAAACCCAAACACCAAACCCTAATTGGCGTCCCTCGGAGATAGTTGTCGGTACGCGCTTCGCTCCAGAGGAATCGTGGGTACGCGGTGGTGCTTTGCTCAGCCAAAGATGACAACCTGAATGTCGGGAGGCGTCAATATTTTGTTTACGAGGAGAACTTGAAGCCGTGGAGCACTGGAGCAACAATGTTGACGACGCTACGGCCCACTGCCACCAGTTCGCGATCCCTCCCGTCAGGAAATCGCGACTCCACTCATCCCACTTTGTCAAAGTCTCAGGGGTGCTGACTGCCCCTGCGAGTGCACGGTGCAGCAGGAAGGGTCACAACAAGAGCCAAGGTTTCAGACAACGGTCATCATCGTGGGGTCACAAAACACGGTCCCCTCCTTCGTGCAAGACATCTCTGGATTCCATGCAGAGCTTAAAGAAACATGCCGATGCCAAGTACTACTCTTCTCTCCGTCTTGAAGAGCGCAAACCAGGTAGCTCGTAAGTCAGTCTTGTGCGCTCTAGCATGCAGCTTGCTCGCCATTTCAGACTGTTCTGAACATTTGCCCTCCTGTTCTTCCAATCGAAGAGTCCGGGTCAATCGTGTAACACGAAGACGGCTCGCCGGGACCATGCCCAAATAATCTACCGCCCGTTGCATGGTCGCCGGTTCTGGTATCCTGATGGTGGTCGTCGTGTCGACACCAATCCATCCCATGCACGGTCTCAAGGGTACCTCCAGATCTCTCACGTCTGTATTCTTGTAGCCACCATCAGTAAAGGAACAGCCTCGCCTTCGCGTCCTCCACCACCCAAGCCAGCCCCTCCTCGAGGTTCTGCCCGGTCATGGCGCTGCACTGGAGGATGTTCCAGCGATGTGTCTTGATGGCCTTGAGTTGCAGGGCCTGTAATATCTCCTCGCCGTTCATGCACCCCGATACATCAGACTTGTTGGCAAACACCAACAGACTGGCTCCTGAGAGACGCTGTCTGCTTGTTAGTTTCCAATACCACGAGACTAGACTTGGGGAGGGATGAAGCATTGACGGACCTCCTCCTGCAGCAGGCCGTGCAACTCCTCCTTGCAGTCGTCCATCCGCAACCTGTCGGTGGCGTCGACCACCCAGATGAGCGCATCTGTCTTCTCGAAGTAGTTTCGCCAGTATGATCGTAGCGTCTTCTGGCCACCGACGTCCCCTATTACAGCACCGGTTAGCCCTACAAGCTGGGTATAACGAATTAGCGAAGACAATCCGTACAAATATTGAGCTTGTATCTACCACAAACATTAGCCTCGCACATTTAGAAACGACAAGAGGCGTAAATATACCCTTGGTAGTCGATGGTTTTGATGATGAAGCCGAGCGTGGGGCTAACGGTATTCACGTCCTCGCCCATGATCTTCTTGACGATGGTCGTCTTGCCCGCATTATCAAGTCCTCTGGACTGTCAGGCGGCTGCATCATACTAATTAATCTCTGGCCGAAGGGGAATCGCTTACAGCATGAGAATCCTCAACTCCTTGTCCTTAAGCCGCGCTTTTCGCAGAATTGACAACATCGCTGATCGATTGTATGATGTTGAAAGCCACACACAGGTCGTGACTGACCAGGATTGGTTAGAGCTGTCTTAACATGGGTGCAAAAAGGGAAATTTGTAGACAGATGCGCGAATGATGAAAACATGCAAAAGTGAAGGTCCTGCCCGGATTCGAACCGGGGTCACCGGAAGTCTAAGCTTCAGAATCCGAAGTGATAACCAACTACACTACAAGACCTGTGGTTGAAGTCCACAGCGCGTTATCACATCTTAGAAGTATGGTCCTCTCTCTCCGATAAGGTATAGTTTGTGTGGGTACTTCGCTTAGGCCTGTCTTGGCTGCGGCTAGGGAGGTCGTTTGGTACTGTTGTTACACCTTGGTAGGAACACAACATCTAGCGGAACACCTTCAAATGATCCAATATCATTGATAATGACGCAGATACTAAAATAAAAAAGTACGATTAAGCGACGATACGATTAGACGACGAACCGATTAGATTACGAATAGCTAGTGGGCGAGCAACCATTACATCGCGTCTGTCTTATTTAATCATAGACCACTGGCGAGCCAACGACATCGTTAGATCGACCACCTCGAACCAGCTATCATCGACAGCTTTGGACACCACCTCCCACAGCTCGGCCTCATGTAAACGAGGGATCACGAGATCTTGTTTCCTATAAGGACCTCTCAGCGAATACGACCAATAGCATCCTAAGGCGAAACTCCCTTAGCACCTATCGTTCTAGTAGAAGGAGTAGAGCGAGCTTTCAGGGCACCCACCTTCTAATACTAGCTCTTTAACTTCTTCTCTTCTCTCTATAAGTGCCTTGAACTCGTGGTATCTCTACTAGTCTCAACGATATAAGAGACTGCTACGCAAAACTACTTGATTCAAGCTAGCAAGTGGAGGAAGACGACGCCGACGCGGCAGCCAACATCCTAGTCAGACCAAGGCTTGAAACCAAAAAGGGCTCCTTTTCACTGCATAAGGTACTACGAGATCTCCTTTGGGTTATCTCCGAGTCTAGCTTACGGCCTTAAAATCCCCACTCGAGGCTCATTTGGCGGCAGGGCAATGCGGTGTAAGTCAGAATCTGTACAACTTGGTTGGCCCTTCGAGCCAGTCGCAGCAGGTCAATATGTTCAGGCAGCGATTTCCCGCAACCTTATAAACCTCGTCCTCGTTCCTCATCAGCTCAGCGATACCGATGCTGTAAGGACCGTAGTAACACCCTCAAGCCTCACGGTCCTGAAACCACTATTGGGGCTGCCTTCCGGAAAGTTGCGAGCGAATTGGAAAATCGACACCTCTACAGCCCTCGTATCTCCTACTTTGCGAATAACCGTCAGCACATCATGAATACTGGCGCGACTCAACAGACTCTATCAGCGAGGGGATACTCGATGCTGGCGAGATTCATGGTTGATCGGGAACATGTGATGCTTAAACAGTATAGAGAGCTTGCTGTGCAAGATCTTCTGTATCTGCAGGCGGAGCTGTGTGACCTTCAGTACGATCTTGCCCAACAGACCCATGCGGACTCCCAGCAGCAGGATGTGAGAAGGTTTTATGACAGAGAATGGTGGCACCTGCAATCCGATGAATCCAGGGGCGGCGATGGGAAGCAGTGGCAGCTTGCACTCCAGGTGAGGACCAAATTAAGGGAATACTGTAAGTACGCTCTAAGAGCGAAAAAAGAGAAAGGGAAGCAATTTGAGTATCGAGAAAGCTAACTGTTGCGAAATGATGCTTCTAGATGCGGCGATCAAGCAATACGAGGCCATCGGAGCGATGCGGCAGCCGTCAGATCACCAAAGACATATGGTGTACACATTCATTCAAAGCGAGTCGCTGGGCGGGAACTGCCAATTCTTGGGCAGGGACCTCGGCGATCTGCCGCCGTGTCCATCAGTATTCGCCAGCTCTAATATACGAGACCTTGTTTTCCTCGGTGAGGACACTGGCGAAGATGATCTTTTGTCCCGCCTGTTCAGAGGCCCTGGGATGCGGCTCTTCCACCATGTGTGGAAGCCCCTGAAGGTTCGGCCCTAAACCTATGCATGCTTTCCTCTCAGCCGTCATGGGACTTATGGTTGACCTTTGCAAGCAGAAACCGACGAGTGGGCACGAGGAAAGTGTAGCGGGTGAGGGAAAACCTACATATTTGTATCACTATTCAGGCCGGAAGTTGCGCTTTGCGTTGGATGTCTTTGGCTCTGCTGCCTCCTCTATAATCCCAATCGTGTCCATCATCGCCCTCTTCTTCGTACAGTCCCTTCTGAGACGCCTGGTTCTCGTTTGCGTGTTCAGTTTTCTCTTCTCTGTCTTCATGTCTGTGGCGACCCGAGCCAGAAGGATTGAGGTTTTCGGAGCAACCGCCGCCTTCGCCAGTGTTCAGGTTGTCTTCATAGGGACAACGAGTAACATCGCATAATGATTCTAGAGAGTTCTCTGGGTCTCTCTTATTCTAGAAGTCTCGTTCGAATAGGTGTACGGTGATATGTATGGTAGCGCTCTGAATAAGCATACATTCGCAACCCATCCGCCAAAACCCAAGGTTTTGCTATTAGGATATCGAGCTATAAGGTACGATTAAGGGGCGGCAACCCAGGTGTTGCGGACGGCCCCCCCGAAGTGCCCCGGCCGGGGCATCGGGGGCTATTGCTTGACGCCCTCTCTGACCTAGGACCTCCCTCTTCTGATAAAATAACATCAAGCACTTAAACCACCTTACGGCACGTAACCCTCCTATCAGGAGAGGGTATTTGCCCGATGATTCATACGTACCAGTACCCTAGTGATTCCTACAGTTCCCTCTTTGCGATAGCCTCGATGCCAACTCATCTACAGCACTGTCATGAATCATCAGTCATGTCGGGGAACTCCTTGAAAGACATCTTTGCACCGCACCTCTAAATCTTCGCACACAACCACGTCTCTGTACACAACGACGTCTCTGCACACAACGACATCTCTGCACACAACGACGTCTCCGCGCATAACGACATCACTCTACACCGTCACACACCGCTGGAAGCTCCCGAAGATGCCCCTGACTCGCGACCGTTTAGTGCCAATTTTCCAGCTGCCAGGTCCTACAGCCACTAGCACGGCTGTTTGGTATAATCTGGATTGGACTGTCGTCAGCCACAATGAGCCTCTAGGCATCAAGACCAAGGTGGACACCGCCAGCGATTACTCGCTGATCCAATACAGTGAAGCGGAGCGACGAGGCCTGACGATACATCCGCTCCCTGAATGGGACTCAGAATGTGAGCTGGAGGGTTTCGGCGGTGGTAGAGAACATATCACAGAGTTCGTGGAGATCGAACTCGAGTGTCCTACCATAGGACTCCAGCGCGTGAAAGTCAACGTCCTGGTTGTGCGTTCCAAGCAAATCGTAGGCCTGTTAATCGGCACTGATATGATTGACAAACACGGCATCGATGAGAAGATCAGTGTGGCGAGGAGGCAGTACGGATGCTTCCCTCCAGGGACAAGTCCCAACTTCATGGCCAGTCAAGGCAATGTCATCGCCCCAATATTTGACGCCCGGCTCCAAGGTACTCATTTCCTCTTACTGCGTATACACTCAAGACCTTTAACAGAATTAGTGAACAAAAAGAAAGGGGACGGGTGAAATACTTGAGGCCAGGGACTCGGTTCTCCGAGCCAAAACCCTAGGGTCCTCAGTCGAAATTCCGAATAACGCGTCCTCGTCCTCCACCACAGCGTTGTCCTCTTCGTCCCGTGCCTTGACGTTGGGCTCCGACAAAACAGCGGCAACTGTCTGCAGCGCCAGCGGCTCCGCCATCGCGACCGTGACATCATCATCGCAGCCCAGTTGCGTTGCTGTGGAATCAAACGAGAGGAAGTGATGGCGCCGCGCGGGGATGTGTCGGGTGTGCCGGGCAACATAATATAAGAATAAGGGCCACTGTCACGGCACAGCCGGAATTACCGCACGTAGGTACGCAGGTAGAAGAACATGGTAGAACGTTTCAAGAAGAGGTCAGCCTCAAAATAAGACATACGAGTGAGAAACAAAGGAGTGTCGACAGTCTTTGTTCATATAGATATATGCGATCATACTAGATAGGTAGCTTATCCTAGAATACATCCCGTCTTTATATGCTAACGGCTTTGCTTTAATTTCTAAAGCACAACTTACAAACTTTTGAGTGCTACGTACAGCTGCTCCTGTACCTCTAGTATGTAGGATTGCGTGTGTTAGCAAGGTAGTACAAGAGTATCACTTGGCCTCACTACCAAGTTATACCTCGCTTGGAATGCCTATCTATACCTACCTTGCCTTGGTTGTTTTATTGTCTTATCGTTTGCCCTTCTATTATCTGCTCGTCTGATCGCTGGTCGACTTATCGTCTCGTCGTCTCGTCGTCTCATAATCTGTTAGCGTGAGATATTCCAAGATCGTCTAATCGGTTCGCAACTTCGTCGCCGCTTGATCGTATTTTGTAATCTTAATATTCGACATATTATTAAGGACATCTTAGTATATAGAAGTTACTACTGCTCTGGTAGCGTGGGGACCTGTGGACATTGATACTAATGCAGTCGCGGCCAAGATCAAAGTAACGACACAGCTGCGGCAACGACTTAGGTACCCTGTGGCTTATGCCCGCAAGTCCAGACTATCACTTGTCTGAGCGTTACCTCACTGGCCATAAAGTATAATTGGTATGAAACGAGAAGGTTTGAGGTGGATTTCGTGCGCTATTACCTTAGTCTGTTCTGGGACCGGTACTTGGCATTGCACAACTGGAAGCTTTCGGTCTTCCTATGTCACGGGAACAGTCGTAGCAGGGTCTCTTTAACTCGGACGTGTCTTTCTATCAGTTGGCCCGTGATAAGTTCCGAGCTTGTCCGGAGTCTGGGGAAACACTCTGAGGAGGACCGAGGATAAGGTGTCCGTTAAGGTTTCTATTGAACCGGAAATGGGTCAAGGCCACCTCAAGTAGGTACCTTGCTTCTAAATTCGTTGGCAAGTGCCATGACGAGGCCCGGCCCGTCACGCGAGAGCACCGGGACTAAGTTGTGGTTGGTGGTGGACGCTACTGCCATAACTTGCTCAAATGCACGCACCGCAACACCACAGCCCCGGGTATCGATCTTGGCTTCAGTTTACGTTAGTTCAACGCCATGCCGAGTGAGAATTCGATGGGATCAACCGATCAGACCGCCTCCAAGATAATCTTTCATCTCGCAGTAC